CTAGTTTGAGTAGGGTGAGAAAAAAAGGCTTTGATCTATTTTTTGGAGTTCGTTGAATTATGGATCGCGAGGCTTAACCATTTGGTCATTTTGATAAAAACTGTTGCAGTATAACCCGTTGACAAAACGAGCTCCATCTATTTCGTCCCTCCACTTCGGTAAGGCTTTTGGTACTCTGTCACAAAAAAGCTAGAATGAACGTACATACACTTAGATGGATTTGCATCTGAGCAGCACTTCTATCGTTGACTGCAATTAAGTGAATAACTGCAAAAACTTTAGGGAAACGAACGACCGTTTTTTAAACAATTTCCTAATGGAAACGTATCCAATTTAAAATCAGACATGATTATAATGCATATAATCATAACGTTCGCAAAAATTAATGGCCTTTAGACTGAATAAACTCACAGAATATCAACATATTACGATGCAACTTTACTATATCTGTGGTCATCCATACAATTGTAAAAGAATTTTTTTTATCCATTCTACCTATAATTCTACCCACTCCACCAGCTGTTTGCTCTGCACTACCCAGGGTATGTCGCTGACGATTACTAACGCCACAGGTACGTCATTTTGTACTATAGATGGCAGACACATCATGTCGCATAATGACGATGACACGTCAAAGCAAAGGCAGTCAACCGGCTGAAACAACGCTTACGAATGAATGATATGATTAACTAGCGTTTTACTTAAAATTGGTTTGAGTAAGCAATCATTTTTGCGAATCCGTGTTATGTGACGTATAACATGCACCTTAAATGACCTCTGAAACGAAACAACTTCGTACGTCACTGCTTTCAGAACTGGAGCGAGAGAATTCAGGCAAGAACTACTAAAAATTAAGATATGGAGGAGAGTTTTTGATGCAAAGCTCTATACTGTACAAAATGTCCAAAAAAATTAGGATATCCTGGAGCTTTCCAGCTTTCCTTTCGCAGACAGTTTTTATGGTGAAGCACAGCATGGTTCCCTCAAAATGTGCAGTTTCTTGGAGTCAAACCGCATTTATACTATGACAAAAGTTTCAGCATATATTTTACCCTGCAATCGTAGCAAGCGCCTAATTAAGCCATAAACGGATCACAGAAGGAATTGCGAAGACAACTTTTCTGACCTAATTGTTAAGCGACAGTCACGTGACATACACGTATACATACACGTAAATCATTTGATTCGCAATCAAACGATTGTCGTGCCAATAATTCAGTCGATATATAAAATTTAATTGGACTTAATTTAACACTGGGGGGGGGTTAGCACATGTAGTCGGGTTTGA